AGCACCCCTTCTGTTCCAATGGGAGTTGCATCCTTTGGAGTCGGGCTCTCCACATCTTACGAAGAGGAGATACGGTCAAGCACATTTCTACCAACTCCACTCCTCACTCCACCACAGGGCATATAAAGAACAGGGCCAGGCATGGTGGTGCACGCTTGTAATCCAGCAAATCTGGGAGGCTGAGGCAAAGGTTAACTTGAATGGCAACACCTAGATGAATTTAGTCAGTATGGCTCTGGGCATGGAAGACCCAGCTTAGGACTGTTGTTGGAAAGGAATGGTATAAAAGGAGCATAGGAGGGAAGGATTTCAGCTGCATTTCCTTGGAAGAGCTTCACCGCTGGCCACTGATTTTTCTGGGAGGAGCTCAAGTCTTTGCCTTTGCCTTGGGCATAGTCTCCTGGCTCTTAATGCTGATTCTTCAGCTTCCAGCAGCTGCCCTTGGGCCACCAGAGCAGACACTTTAGCTTGTGGCCTGTCTGACCTCCTGGTGAGGAGCCCTGGGTCTTCCATGGTGGATTCTTCCGCCTCCTGAGGAGGGCTCCTGTGGGAAACTGCCTTGGGCTCCAGGCCTTCAGCTGGATCCTTTGGATCTCTAGCCTGGTGTCTTGGTTACTTTTCTCTTGTTGCTGGGACAAAATAACCGGCACCCAAAATTAGGGAAGGAAAGGTTTATTTAGCTCACAGTTTGTGGAGGTTTCAGTACAGACTTGGCCAACTTCAAGGCAGGGTGGCACATGACAGAGGGCAACAGTTCATGATGGCAGAAAATAGCAAAAGCAGCAAGGGCACAAAGGGAAAATAAGCCTCTTTCTCTCCCTTCTATTGTAAGCAGGTTGCCCCCACCCAGGGGCGTGTTGCGCTCACACCCTCTCCATCCCTCCTCCTGCACAGGCTCAGGATGGTACAAAGTGAGGACCCGGCCCTGCTCAGTCACTTAGTTACCTTCTACTTCTCACACTGATGCAGTGAACAACATCCCAGAGTGGTGAGGGTGTGTCCTTTTCACCCCAGGATGTAGAACAGCTCAGTCACTTAGCCAAGCCTCTAGACTCCCCAAGTTGACACAATCATCAACCATAACACCTAGACAGATCTTTTCTACTGTTCTACATTTGACTCTCGCTGGGTGTGGTAGCGCATGCCTGTAATCCCAGCACTCAGAAGGCTGAGGCAGGAGGATTGTTGGGAGTTTGAGGCCAGCCTGGGCTACGAAGTGAGCTCAAGGCCAGCCTGAACTGCATAATGAGACCCTGTCTCAAAAAGACCCCCCTCAAAAAAAACTGACTCTCTGGGGGCCACTGTAGGCCAATCAAGTAAATTTGCATCCAAGATTATATCTGATCCAGAGCATGTGGAGTCTTGAGCCACGCCCTAGCCCTGCAAGCTTTTGTGAGCACTAATACAGAAAGTAGTTAGCCATTAACAACACTTAAAAGCTATTTTTCTTCTTGTAGAAGTTAGAGGATGGCCGGGGATATAGCTCAGTGGCACAGGCACCTGCCTGGCAAGTGCAAGGTCCTGAGTTCTATTCCTGGTACCAAAAAAAAGAGAGAAAAAAAAAAAAGAATGAAACAAAGAAGTGAGAGGGTCAACACACAACACAACCCACATCATGTACCACACACCTACTGGAATGAGTAAAAGTTATTTTTAAATGATAATACCACATAGTGGAGATGCAGAAAAAACTGGGTTATTCATAAATTGCTAAGCAGTAATGTAGTAGTGTACAGCCATCCTAGAAAGTATTTCAGTAGTTTATCTTTTGTGTGTGTGTGATATTGGGGATTGAGCCCAGAGCCTTCACACTGAGCTACATCAACATTCTGTGACTGTAATGAGACAGAGTCCCATTTTATAACCTATTATGTCTGCCCTGTGAACCCTATGCTTTTCGTTGATTTTTAAACAATCTGATTATCACAACAGGATCTTTTATTTTTAAAAATGTCCTTTTACTTGGATGTGGTGGTGCACATCTATAATCCCAGCACTAGGAGGGCTGAAGCAGAAGGACTGGGCCAAATTCAAGGCCAGCCTGGACTACATAGTATGTATGTATGTGTGTATGTATGTATATATGTATGTATTTTGGTAGCAGGGATCAAACTCTGTTGTGCTTGCGCCACTAAGCTATGTCCCCAGCTCTACATGGTGAATTTAAAGCTAGTTTGAACTACAGAACAAAAAAAAAAAGGAATTACAGAACATAGTGAGATCCTGTCTCAAAAAAAATAAAAAAAGAGTTGGGCGTGGTGGTGTGCACCTGTAATCCCAACACTCAGGCGCCTGTAATCCCAACACACTGCAAATTTGAGGCCAGCCTAAGCTACATAATGAACTCAAGGCCAGCCTGAACTACATAGTGAGATCCTGTCTCAAACAAAAGGGATGATAAGAACCAAAAACATGCCCTTTTATCAGGAATTTACACTATCTGTCCAGTCCATCTGCACAGGGGCTCAGGAACTGGCCGTAAGAACCCAGTGTCAAGGACGTTGAATGCAACTTATCCTGTTGCCCCAGAATTGTCCTCCTGTCCCCAAGTAAGGATGAGAGGCAGTAAGCACCCCTTCTGTTCCAATGG